CATACATTCATACATTCATACATTCATACATTCATACATTCATACATTCATACATTCATACATTCATACTCAATGAGGCCAACTTAAGAATCCCTTTAACTCGCCTCTTTGCACGTAGTGAGATGTACTCCAACACAACCGAAAGTGACATGACCATTCATGTCAAAGTCAAAGTTAGCTGAAAATAATTCACGAATTTCTCTCACATGAAAGCGAGGTGGTGAATGACATGAACGAGTCAAAATTGTTTGATTATGTGAAGAAGTCCTCAGTCTACCGCCATTTGTGCCCGATGAACCTGTCCTGAGCTTTCTTCTGTCCCGCCGTGAAAGATATCATCAGAATGCGAAAACATAATTTACGAACTAATCACGCCAAGTGCAATAAGCCAAGAAAGTAGTTGGTTCAACCTTGTTTTCGCAACTTGCTTGTAGTGTCAGGGGGATCTTGTGGAACGTACTTAGTCCCGTGTCCTCTGTCCTATTATTCACTATTTCCAGCATCGGACCATTCACTTGGCACATCTACAAACGTTTCCTGGGCTTCGTAGTCGGCATCGTCAGTAAGAGGCGCCATTGTAAGCACAGAGTTACAACTTATCAAATGGGGGCAATCCTCTTGACCAATTTTCCGTTCAACCGTTGTGGCATCGCTCATCGCCTCTATTTTTTATTCTACCTTCTAGACCCTGAGAGTGTGGTCTCTATTTCGGACGAAATCTTCTTTCGCTATAATGAAATGGTTTCACCTCGCTTTTGTAACTTGGTCGTGTTGTCACGACTCTTTAAATGAATGCATATTGTCCGAAGTCATGATATTTTTCATTACCGACTCAGAAGTATCTCCGGCATCGTCACTCAGCCTAGTCATTCTTATTTATCATCTACAAAGAAGCAAGACCCGGAAAGACTCCTTGAAGATGCTGAATTCGAGGCTGGAGAGACGTCTGGGAGTGTGCCGAATCAACGATGTAACGATGAAAGTAAGCATGCCTAACATAAGGAGGACTTCGGACAAAGTGAGTCCAACCAAGTTGTCCATAAAACACGACCAAGTTGTAAAAACGAGATCAAACCACATTTACGCGATCAGTAGTTTTAGTATAAGAACTCAGTAAAACCTGGGCCACTTAGGTGATATATGTAATTGTATTAGAGTCTTTTCAACAATCACATGAGGAGGACACGTGATGCCACATCTTTCACCTAGCCTCATCTCTAATATGACTGGATTGAACTGCACATTCCAATTTGCCCGGGCACCGTCAAACCCCGACGGTATTCGGGCCTGGGTCGCAACTGGTAGATGTGACTGTCAAAGCAAACCGATACTATCCCACATCACATTTTCATAATGAAATGGTCGACTAGGCAAATGGGAATTTGTTGTGCTTACTTCCATTTCGAGTGAAAGTGTTTGGTGAATAGATTCGAAGGTTGATTTCACCAGAAGACGACGGCGAATTCCTCTTGACCAGCTGTCGATTGGCTTTACTGGAACATTCATGATGACACTGTTTCCGAGGTTATCGCCTTCGATTCCGGTGAAAAGGTGCTAAGCTTTCGTCTGTCATATGACAAACATCATCAGAATTAGCATCATCACAACCAACTTAAAGCTAAGGAAATTTACTCGAAATGGACGTCAGACAACAATTATGAAACAAGAGATTCCTCGAAACCCAAATTTTCTTCGCAAATAGGAATTTACCACAAAAATCTCCAACAGTACTTAATGTCGATATGAACATGAATATATAAAATAATTATTTATTTTGTAATGAGAACTTTGCCAGTCTATGCGACCTAAACCTTTAGCTCAAAGGTTAGTTTTCAAAGGTCAACTCAGAGTAGCCTAGTCGGCGGCCTGACTCGCTAGCGGATGTTGGGCCCGAGTCCGAACAATTGTGCCTCGAGCCGCCCGCAACATGCATAGACAGACACGAGACAGATCCGGCCAGACCTCAGCCGACCGGCGTGAATCAACTGGGTCCACTTCCCATGCTTGACTGGATCAGAGCAGCGAAGACCCCGATTCCGATCATATTTGTGATTCGAGTTCAGCCAAGCGTTAGACTGGCGCAGATTTTCTCGTCTGACCAGAGAGGGACTAGATGATGGTGGCTCTTTTTCGAGTGCTCGTCTCCGGAATGGGGTATGAGGCATGTTTTGTTTACATTTACAGACGCCCGCTCCTTACGACTCGGTTTGTGAATTTGACGAGGGACCGCTAAGCCCCTACTCTACTCATCCCCTTCACCAAGTTTTACCTCATCGCTACTCTGCCCTTCCAGCCGTTCATCTTCACCAAGCGTCAATGGCGTCACTGCTATCCTCATCATCCCCATCCGACAAGCTTAGCTCGCCACTGTCGGTGAGCCGTTGGTGCCGGTCGACAACAGCAGGTCTCGAGACTGTCTACACCGACTGGATGTGTGTTTTGCTACTCTCCCAACGCCTCCCGCCACTGACAAACATAAACACTTGAATACCCGATCATGCGAACCTGAAGACGTTGTGGTGACAGGATGGAGTTGTTTGTCTCAATGTCTCCTGTCCCATTGGCACACTTTCGCAGACCTTTCGCGTTCGCCGGGCCAAGGGAGGAGCACAGCTCCCCCTTTTGCCTGCCGGCTCATATTGTGCATGGGTTACATGCCTGAGGACGGCAGACAGGTCAGCAAACAATCATCGGTTCTGAGGGAGGTGAATATCAGAACGTTGCGCGACACTCAACTTACGTTAAACTCGAATGTTCATTTCGAAGGGATTCGTTGACTGGCCGGACCGAAAACCGAAAGATACCTTCTAGTGGAATGTTCAAAGAAGCACCCGGTTCAGCATCCTACCACCCCGATCCTTTGGTACCGATCTTCCGTCTGCCCTGTCATGCGTCAATTTAGCATTCACGAAAAAAGCTCGATTGAAATCATACTCATTTCTCATACCATTACTTTGTTGCTTGCTCTACACACATGCTGAGGTAGTAACTATATTATCGTTTCACCTTGTTGTTAGGCCGATCTGGTTGAATGCATTTTGCCCAAAGTCCTCTGCTTTAGTAGTCATGATAATTTACAGCCTTAGTTCGTGGACCCGGTCCATCTACTGACGCTTCGCCTCGTCACAGTCGGCAGCATCAATGAGTCTTGCTATTCTTTGCACCAAGCTGTAACTTGTCGTAGGGACCACAACATCTTGGTCTCCATATCCGGTACAAGAGATAGTTTGATTCATCAAAATATGTACAAAATGCCAACGTTTTGAGGATACAAATTGGCCTATAGGAAAAAGTGTCGCAGGGAAGAGATGCTTGAGGAAAGGAGATGAATTCTGTGATTTACGTCAAATCATAGAATTTTCCCACAATTTTGGATGGACCTCTTGTAAGCAATCTTGGGCAATAATAACTATCTTTTTCAAAAGTTTCTGTCTGTCATACAAACTTTGAGCTCCATATATACTACAAATGCACTAAATTACTCAAGTTATGGAGATAACAAGAGCACAATCCCACTTCGCTTAGTGCTCATTAGTGAATAATGGGGCTGGCTGCGCAAACGTGAGATTTCCCCACTCCACCTGCTTAAACACTGAACGTAGTGAAGTGTATCTACACGAGGCTATGATAGTCGAGTAATTGTTCGCGTAAGAGAACAAAAAATGCTGTACTGCCCGATTTAGAGTCCGGTTAGCTATGCGGAAGAGACCTAGGCAAATTTAATACCTCAGTCCACCTCTCTGTGGAGAAAAATACCTTCTGAGAAAAAGGGCTATGTGAAATTCAATGAAAACATGAGGCCTACTCACATGATAATGGGAAAATTCAACTACCAGTCCTTCATCACCTTAAACTAAATAGGTTGAATACTTATATATGATCTATCTATCTATCTATCTATATATATATATATGATCTAATGGTACTCTCGAAAACCTAGTTATAATTTTTTTTAATGTAGTCGATTGTTATGGAAAATACAACTTTACTTCATCGACAATCCCCACAGAATGTGATAAGGAAAAACGCTTTGCATTCTTTGAAATTCACATCTACCCTGTGACCCAAGGCCACTCGTGGCACGGTTCTTGTCCCTTTGGTGGGCGCAAGAGACCTAGGCCCATTTGAAATTGCAGCCCACCTCAGTCTTGGGGGAATACCGTTTGAGAAGCAAGGCTTTGTGAAATGGAAGCATGGGACCTGCTCATATGCTTATGGAAATATTGAACTAGTACTCCTTCATCACCTTACAGAAAATAGGTTTAATACAGTTCGTATATAAGAGTTGGCAAGACTTGCTTATGATCCCCAAAAGTTGCGAAAACCGGGTCAAACAACTCTTAAGACCAGGAAAATAAAAGCCTTCTTAAGAAAGCTTAAACGAAATGGTCAAACACTATTAAAGTCAGGTAAAGATGTAGCAGAATAGGCAAACTTTGTGAAGAAAATGTTTGTACATAGGACAATGATTAAGAAGCCCTGAATACTAGACGTAAGGATTGCTTGCAACAATATATAAACAATGGTTGTCATCCGTAGAAGTGTTAAAATAACCTCACCTCTTCGGCGAGACGCTGGACCACCAAATGCTTTTGATCTGAATAAAAACTTAGTCAGTCTAGATCGAATAAGGTGATTTGAAGCACTTATATTTGAGTTAACCTACATTCGAATGAATATGCCTCCATAAGGGCTATCTGGACCAGGCCGGACGAAAGTTTCGACCTTGACCCTTAACAGGATTCGATACTGTGTTGAGTTTCGTGTCGGTGTTACCGCTCCACTACACAACCACGGGTACCAGAGGGTCACAGAGCAAATGTGGCAACCAAGGCACGTCACATTTGTTATGGGGTTGTCGATAAATACAACATTTGTTTACAAGTGCAGTCGAAGAAGTAACCTATTTTTAGTATGGGCATTTCTTATTTAGGTATTGCTGATATTCTCGAAAACTACTTATGTCGAAAATAAGTAGTTGTTGATTGCAATGACAAATACATTCTTGCTTGAGACGCTTTTGAAGTGTACTTTACCAAAGAGAATTCAACGGCATCCTGAAGCCTTATCTCACTGTGGGGAAATTCAATCATCAGTCGTTCAAATCCTACTAAGTTCTTATTCGAGAATGCCCTGCCCATAATTCATAATGTAGGTGCTCCCATTTGAGTTTGGTGATGCATCAAAAAGCACGATTTTTGTGAATCCTTAATCTGGAATATTTAACAATGACTTCTTGCGATTTTTTTAGGTTAGTAGATGAACAGGCGATACAATCTGGTGATTTGCTTCTAAGTTTCTAGTCACTCAGGCTAAATAAGACGCTAGAGTTTATGTTAGATTGGCATTATGATATCATTAAGGGTAAAATATTAAGCACGGATCCACTCCTGTGATTGGCCAATTATCTTGGATGGTAATTTATATAAGCATTGTTGAGGAGACCTTCATTGTATACGCATACACGAGGTCTAATTATTTAGAGAACTTACACTTTTTACACTTCTTTTTTGACAATGAAAATGGGTATAAAGCAGTGGTTACGAAATTTATGATAATAGGAAGTTAGAGTCAGGCAAAGGTAGACCTCCGGGACCAGAAAGTGGGAAAGCTAGTCGAAAGTAACCATCCACTAACAGTAACGGACTATTATTGCTCATTACTAAAACTAGGATGAGAGAATAAAGCTACTTATATCAGGCAAGACAGAAAGGCCAATCTATCCATTCCATGATGTTTCCTTCATGTTGGCTTTCGAAAAAAGCCGAC